ACTGACTGCTGACCAGCAGAGTAACTGCAGCTCACCAGCCACCCCCTTGTCCACCACGTAGACACCAAAAACACACCTTCCCATCAGGAGGTAGAATAAAGTCACTTCTATCTTTGAAATTCTATCACAAGTGGCATTCTCATGGTTTTAATCAGTGTAACTCTCAGAACTTCAAAAAAATTTTTTTTATTTTAAAGATATGGGGTACAATTCAGGGTTAGGTATATAAATGTTCATTATTCAGGTACCCTTGTTGATGAAGTGTGCCCCTCTACCCTGGCAGATTCCCACTACTGCCAGCCCCCACCCCCACCCTGCCCCTGGCAGATTCCCACTACTGAAATCCTTTTTTTATAGCATTATGATAATTGTTCAAGGTCCGCTTATGAGTGAGAACATGTATTTTAACCAAAGAAAAGGTAGATAACCCTCCAGAATATTTCAAACTTCTATATGCCAACTGAACCCTAGAAAGCTAGAATTTGAGATACTGTCAAGCATTATCGCAGTTGTCTGCTTTAATACTTAAGATAATCTCTGTGCTGCCCACACTATTATTAGAATGAAAACAAAATAAGCTATCCTGGGTAGAATTGTAAATAATTTTTTTTTACTCTGTAATTTTTTTCAGTGGATAGAATGTAGAGAAAAATAGAAGAGGATATTAAAAGAAACACTTGGGAAATGAAGCTTAAATGTTTTATCATTTATATACTTATTTATGCCATGTGAAAGTATGTTTTAGTGGGCTAGGAAGGGTACAATGTTATGAATACAAAATTTGCCTTTGAGCAACATTTGCACTTTGAAGTCATTTTCCTCCTAGCACTTGTGGGTGGTCTAAGATGACAGAGTGGGGGGCATCTTCAGTGTCAAAGAACTCATATTAACTCTCATTTCATTCCTTGACCCAGCCCTTCGAAAAAATCACTTGAAATTATTACTTTCACTATGCCATAATAATTTTTTAAAGTCTATGGTAGTTAGCTTTGAAACTGAATGTTATCCCTTATGGATTAAAAATAAAAGACTTCGGTTTTCTGGAAGGTCTGTTGGATCTTTAAATATAAATGTAGTCCCCTTTTTGACTATTCTAATGCCTCTCATCAAAATCGTTTAACACCAGAAATTATTTTCTAAAGCCGAACCACAACACATATTTCGACTCCACATGTAATAACACTGCAAATTTGTTAACATCTGCATATTTTCTTTACTAACTGCAGTTCTAGCCTGAAGTTAATTATATAAAGCTGATTTTTTTCCCAAGCACAACTTTTATATATCACATTTAGTTTAATTGGTGTTTTGAGTAATAAATTGTTTTTCAACTATAGCATATTAATTGACATTGCTAATGAAATTATTTTAACGTCCAGCTTAACTATTATGAGAAATTTATTTTGTCTTATTTTTTAAATATAATTCTCCATTGTAACTCACTAATTAACCTGACGATTACTTTCCTTTTTTTGAATCTTCAGTATATCATTATATCAAAACACTGCACTCAGTAGCAAGATATACAGTTTTTACAATGCAGCTAAATGTGAATCCTTCAGCCACAGCATATTTTTGTACTAGTATTGTTTAATAATATTTTTGCATTCAGCATGTTTTTTATGCCAAGCACAGTTACATATACTTAGTGGTGCATCTGTAAATTCAGATTGCCACAGTTGGCACTATTGCCAGTATGATATTTAGATCACTCATAGGCCTGTTTAAAGAAAAACTTGATACAAAATAAAGTTTAATAGAGTTTATCTGAACAGAGAACAACTCATGAATCAAGAAGCACCAAAACCAAAAGGAGGTTATGGGTTTCATTGTAGTAGCCTGAGCATTAAGCTTATATAGGCTGAATATGGAAGCAAAGTTAAAAACAAAAACAAAAACAGAACAACAACAAAAAAAAAAACCTTGATAGGCTAGAGCTGGGTGTTTGCCTTATTTGGGTATTGTTCAGTGGGAGGTCCCAAGTTAGCAAACCGATCAGCTAGTTGGCTGTCTATGATGGGTTGAAGCTTCATTTAAAATTAATCAGATATGAGGAATGCATCTACCTTAAGTTTCTGTTTTCTTGCATAAGGGCTCCAGGAACAGAAACAACCCCAGGCTAATGGCACCCTGCTTATTTCGCTTTAACAGGCTCTGCAATGTTAGAAAAAGGGCAAAGAAATAGAAAGGCTACATCTCTAATGATTTAACATGAAACTAACTTCCCTTAGAGCCACTCAAGTCAACAAATATTTATTAAATTTTATCTATGAGGGCTCAGTACTGTTGCTGTCACACATGTGGGAAAAAGGAGAAAACATAATTGAAAGACTCAATTCTTGCCCTGTAGAAGGCATATCTAGTTGACACGGGGGGATGTGCAGGGGGGACCTTTGGGGGGAGAGGGTTTGACTAATAAGAACCCATGAATAATTTTTTTCCAATTTGATATTGCATTATTCTCTGCATGATGTCGTATAGATAGTTTAAAACTATAAGATGTTAAAGGAAATGAAATTCAACGTAGAGTTATTTCAGGAGGCTTTGTGATAGAGGTGGAACTTGACCTGGACTTTTAAAAAACTGATTAAGAATTACAAATGTAGGTAATAGGACATTTCTGGTAGGAGCAATGGCATAAGCAAAAACTCAGAAACAGGACTAATCTTTGGAGTGTTCAGAGAATAATGGGACTTTCTGGGTCAAGTAAAAGAGTTGGTGTCAGGGCACACTGGGGTATCATGTTAGATATGTATTATGAAGTCCTGGAAATGCCAAGATGAGGCATTAGTAAAATAATAGTGAGCTGCCAGACATTTCTGAATGAAGATGCACTGGTGCCTCACAAAAGGCTGGCCTGAGGGCCAGAGACCAGACTAGAAGTCAGAAATCCAAGCAAAAAAGAATAAAGCCAAGAAATGTGGGGTTCCCTTATAGACTTTCTTTTGGGGCAGGAATTATTTCCAGCATCACAAGTAGGTATGAATGAATCTCCTAATAGACTTGTAAAATCCAGTGGTGGAGATTTGGACAGGTGATCAAGGGGGAGTTTCAGAAAAATGAACCTGTTACTGTTATGAAGAATGGATTAACCCAGGCTAATGAGTTTACATGGGCCCTTGAGAAATAATTTCAACAAATAGGGAGTGAACTGATAGGGGCTTAGGCAAAGATTGTAATTGTGCACGCTGAGAGGAATTATTAATACATGTAAAAATAGCTCAAAGAAAGAGATGTAGAAATGAAAGTTGGCTCTGAGATTTCAAATGTTGAGATAGAAAGCAGAAGTGGTTCCATGGACCAAAATACAAGAGTTGGGAAAGGAAATTGTATGTGAAGATCTCAGAATTTCCTGATTTCCTTTTCTTGATCCATTGAGATCAAGACTGAAAACAACATTCACAGAATATGGCCAGTGACCTCCTTGCTTAATAATTTGTAACTACACTAAATCTAATGGAGAGTCTGGAGTGAAGCATATTCTTTTCTTTGGCTTCTGGCCACATCAGGGTTTGTAACCAGAGTAGCATCTAAGATATTTGTTTATTTAAAGGACTTTCAATAACTGAAGCACTTTGAAGTACTTAGATGCTGGTAGAATATGCTGAAACTTTGGCAGGGAAAACACCTTGGTTCTTGAATGAATGATCAGTGTTTTGATGGACATCAGTGTTTCTGTTTACGAGAAGATTACAGCTAGGTGATGCATTTGATGACATGTTTTCTCCAAATTAGAGCTTTCTTCGTACTAATTAAATATTGTCTTCCAATAAGGTCATGTCACTAAGATAAAATAGGTTGTGTAGATTATCAATCAAAATGAGTTCGTTAAAATAGTAATGTTCAGTTTGAAAAAAAAGTCAAATGAGAAGTTTAGTAATAAGAACCATTTATGTAACAATTACTATGTGTCAGAAACTATGTTAAATGCTTTACATGCACTATTTGATTTAATTAGCAAATATTCCCATGAAATATGCACTTTTTTGCAGAAGAAGAAACTGTGGCCAAAGAGGTTAAAAAAATTGCCAAAGATTAGGCAAAATTAGTTAGGGATAGAGCCAGGTTCAGTATTAGGGCTACTGTGATTCTGAAGTCCTTATTCTTAATTGCTACACTGTACTTGTCTCTTCGGGTTTCAGACATAAAACAAGGTGATTGGGAATTTTACTATACCTTTCAGCACTCCACCCACAAAAGATATGATTTCGGTCATGTGTGAAGAAACATTGTTTCATTTCTAAAATACGCCACAGACTGTTTAGCAACCTGTGTTCTCACATTGCTGGCAACAGTATCTTTATTTATTGAACTGGGCTCAGTGCAGTCAGAATTCAGGTTTCTAGGAGCTGCATATAAACACGTTACAAACCTTTTGTCACCTTGACAGCTTTATTGTGACCCATATGCTCCATGAACATCCTAAATATAGGTTGGAGATATGGAAAATTATTTTACAATTGCTTTACAAAAAAGTCAGATATTAGCAAAAAATTCTGAGTTTAACCCTGTTAAAAACAATAACAATGGGGGGGGCATAACAACACAAAGATTACCTGGTCCTATACTGGGGGAGAGGGCCAATTGGAGGCCCAGACTTCACCTACATGCAGCCTGCTTTTGTAGTTAATTCTTACTTGTACCCCATCTCTATAATAAAATAAAATTTAATTTTAAATAAATGGTACCCCCACATGATCGAGCAATCTCATTTCTGGGTATATATCCAAAGGAAATAAAACTGAAAGATACCTTCAATAAATAAATAAATAAATAGCAACAACAAGGCATACCTTTGAAAAATCTTTTATACACTGAATGAAATTTAAAAAATAAATATATGGCATCTGTATTTGTATGTGAATAACACTTTGTAAACATCTATTTCTAACTAAACTTATGGTTTTTTTAATAGACACAAAATGCATGCTAAAGAACTAAAAACTTTTTTCTTCACCTATAAAAACTAATGGAAAATTGTTTGTTTGTTCTTCTCACAGCTGAATTTTTATTCCTCTTGTGGGGTGTTTATCTCTGCTATGCAGTGCGGACAGTCCCATCGGCATTTCACGAGCCGCGCTACATGGCTGTTGCAGTTCACAATGAGCTCATTATCTCTGCTATATTCCATACAATTAGGCAAGTGATCTGTAGAGCTAGTAAATAACTGTTTTAGTTTTCTGATGTGTTGCGGTTTAATTTAAATAGCAAAATTGGGTAATATGCATAATAGAAAGACTGAGGAAGGATAGTGTTTCATAAGTTGACTAATTTCTTTATTACAGAAATGGCAAATTAATAGGATTTTTTTTAAACTCTGTTG